GATCATCTTCCCTCCAATCGACCATAAGAATCTTTAGATTTCTAAAGAAATTCCCAAGTTCACGTTGACTTATCAATAACATCGTCCACCATATAATGATGAAAATTCCGAGTCTGGTTCATATTTGGAATCCAATTTAAATAAAACTCAAATTTGTAGACCTAGTTTTCTCTGTCCGATTCCAGCGAAGTTAGCACATCTCCTTCTATACTAAGACCTAAGGCTAGGTCAACGGCTGACATCGCACTGTTGTTCGATTCAATGGTGGAAATGTTGAAAATTTATTGTTCAAAATCAAAAGAAAAAAAGGGGTAGGGGGGGGGGGGGGGCTTAACCATGTGACCGCATGGATTAAGCCCATGTGGTCGCATGAGGCCTTTCCAAGAATGGGAGGGCAGCGATGTTATAACCATGCGATCGCATGGCTATAACCCATGCGGTTACATGGTTATCAAAACTAATCGTTTTTTATTTGAAATTGGTGGCTTTTCATCATTGTCTTACATCATTTTGTGAAAACCTTGTCAAAGCCTATAAATAGGTGATCCAAGTGCAAGAAAGATATATTGAGTTCCATTAAAAATTTATCCCCAAATATACTTCCAATATTGAGAATATTTATTACATAATTCTTCTATTTTCACTTGTTCATTGTGAAGAAACACCTTTGCCTTTTGGTGTTCTTCTTGTCAAAACTTGTTTATTCCTATAAACTATTTGCCGAAAATCCTTAAAAAGCATTGAAAGTGAGGCAAATAACGTTTGAGGACAGCGAGATTAATTTAGTGTTTAAGCCTTCATTGATATATTTTTATAATTCTCTTCTCCATTGCCATTATTTTTCAATAATCTCAAACGTTATCTCATTACTATTATTGCAATAGAGACGGAATCTACAATTGCTACTATCAAAATGATGAATCAAGACCTAATACGTTTGGACAGATTCGATGGTGCAAATTTCACAAGATGGTAAGAAAAACTTAAATTTCTATTAACAGCCTTGAAAATCTTCTATGTGCTTGATCCAAAATTGGAGCCCATTCCCGATGCAACTGACAATGATACTGAAGAAATTCGCATAGAAAGGAGAAAACGAGAAGAGGACGAATTGATATGTCATGGCCACATCCTAAATGCATCATCCGATCGCCTCTATGATCTCTACACCAATACTACATTGGCAAAAGAAATATGGTACGCGTTGGAAAGCAATTACAAAGTCGAGGAGGAAGGTACCAAAAAGTTCTTAATATCTAAGTATTTTGATTTCAAATTTTTGGATAATATACCATTATTGCCTCAACTACATGAGTTACAAATAATTGTAAACAAACTGAAAGCAGTGAAAATCGAACTTCCCGAAACTTTCCAAGTGGGAGCAATTATTGCTAAACTTCCTAGTTCTTGGAAAGGATATAGGAAGAAGATTCTTCACAATTCCAAAGATTTTTCTCCGGGAGATATACAAAAATATCTTCGTGTTGAGTAAGAATCAAGTGCAAGACATAAGATTGAAAATTCTTATGATGGCTCTTCAAAGGCCAATGCCGTGAACAATGTAGACAACTCCAACAAATTTAAAAAGAAAGGAAAATTTCTTGGTCCTAGAAAGGATCAAGGAAAGTTCAAAAATAAAGCTAAAGGACCTTGCTATGTTTGTGAAAAATCGGGACACTATGTCAAGGATTGTAGACATAGAAAACAACAAAAGAAGGAAGGACAATGAACTCCGTTGATGAGATTAACGCCACGGTGAGCGAAATCAATGCAATCTAAGGCAAAGTTCCGGGCTGGTGGTACGATATATACGCTACAATCCATGTATGTTATGATAAGTCTCTTTTCAAAACTTATCATGACATCGAAGACAATCAAGAAATACAAATGAGAAATGAAGGAAGATCAAAAGTAATTGGCAAAGGAAATGTGGAACTCATTTTCTCTTCGGGAAAGAAGATCACTTTAACAAATGTTTTGTATGTATGGAAAATGAATAGAAACTTAGCAAGTGGTGTACTCTTGGGAAAACTTGGAATTAAATCTGTTTTTGAATTTAGAAAGCTTGTATTAACCCATAATGGGCACTTTGTTGGAAAGGGTTATTCCACTAAAGGAATGGTCAAACTATGTACTCTTGAGGTTAACTCAAATAAAGTTAAATCTTTTGCGTATGTTACTGATCCATTTAATTTATGGCATGGTAGATTGGCACATATAGGAGTTAATACTATGAAAAGAATGATTAAATGTGAATTAATAAAATGTGATATTGACGACTTTGAAAAATGTGAAACACGTGTTAAATAAAAAATGATTAAGAAGCCATTTCATAGCGTAGTAAGAACAACAAGATTACTTGAACTTGTTCATTTGGACATATGTGAATTGAATGGAATGGAATGTTAACTAGAGGCGGTAATAGATATTTTATTACTTTTATTGATGATTGTTCTAGATATGCGTATGTGTACTTATTAAAACATAATGATCAAGCCTTTAATACTTTTAAGACTTATAAGATTGAAGTTGAAAATCAATTAGAAAGAAAATTAAAGGTTTTAAGAAGTGATAGACGTAGAGAATATTTTTCTAATGAATTTAACATGTTTTGTGAACAAAATGGAATAATACATCAAGCTTCTGCATCTAGAACACCGGAACAAAATAGATTAGCAGAAAGAAAGAATAGAACTCTTTAGGAAATGATAAATGCAATGTTGTTAAATTTTGAATTACCCTTTAATCTATGAGGTGAAGCCTTACTTAGTGCTTGCTATATAACAAATATGATTCCTATGAAAAAGAATAAAATTTCTCCATAAGAAATTTGGAAAAATAGAAAACCAAATATTAGTTATTTTAAAGTATGGGGGTGCCTTGCCTATTGTAAGAATATGAATCCTAAGAGAACCAAGTTAGGTCCTAGAGGTATCAAATGTGCTTTTGTGGGATATGCTTTCAATAACAAAGCCTATAAATTATTAAATCTAGAAATGGACGTTATAATAGAATCAAGAGATGTGGAATTCTTCGAGGATATAATGGTGGCTAGGAAATATGAAAATAATAATAATGATTTCAATTTTTAGAAGCTCATCAGAAGAAACATCCATAAAAGATGTTGAAATTGAACCTCAAAGAAGTAAAAGAATTAGAAAAGAAAAGAACATAAGAATCAGATGAAATAGATCCCCAACATATTTCTTTTTACTTAGTAGAAGGAGATATGAATGATGTTGTAAGAACAATTCCCTTTGTTCTTCAAGTGGAAAGTGATCATAAGACTTATAAGGAAGCGGTGCAATCTAGAGATTGCATGTTCTGGAAAGAAGTTATAAATAACGAAATGGATTCTATTATTTCAAATAATATTTGGGAAATAGTTGACTTGCCAGCATGATCTAAGGCTATTGGTAGCAAGTGAGTGTTTAGGAAGAAATACAATTCCGATGGATCTCTTAATACCTACAAGGCTAGATTAGTGGCTAAATGGTATCATCAAAGAGAAAGAATTGATTATTTTGACACATATGCACTCGTAGTTAGAATAACCTCGATCAGATCTTATTTGCATGAGCATCCATTTATGATCTACATGTTCATCAAATCGACGTCAAGACGACGTTCCTAAATGAAGATCTCGAAAAAGAGGTCTATATGGTACAATCAGAAGGGTTCGTTCTACCAAAAATGAACATAAAGTGTACAAATTAATTAAATCCTTGTATGGATTAAAGCAAGCTCCAAAAAAGTGACATGAGAAATTTGACTCTAAAATAATTTCAAATGGATTTAATCACAATTCGGTAGATAAATGCCTCTACACGAAAGTGAATGAAAATATATTCATGTTAGTATGTCTATATGTTGATGATATGCTAATCATCAGCAATAATATAGACGGGATTAAAGAAACAAAATTGTTTCTATCCTCTACTTTCAAAAATGAAGGATCTTGGAGAAGTTGATACTATCCTTGATATCAAAGTTAAAAAGGATAGTGGGGGGGGGGGGTTACGTTAAGCCAATCACACTATGTTGAGAGTATGATAAACAAATTCAAACATTTGAATATTAAGGAGGCTAACACTCATATAGATCCAAATATTAAATTGATAAAAAATGAAGGTAGAGCAATTGCACAAATAGAATACGAAGTGCAATTGAAAGTCTTATGTACGCATCACAATGTACAAGATCTGATGTAGCATTTGCTGTAAGTAAACTAAGTAGGTTTACTAGCAATCCAAGTTCAGAACATTGGAAGGCCATCGGTAGGGTTCTTTGTTACCTAAAGAAAACCAAAAATCTCGGGCTACAATATACAAAATTTCTTTAAATCTTAGAAGGATATATTGATGCAAGTTGGATATCGAGTGCAGGAGAGAATAAATCTACTTCAGGTTGGATATTCACTCTTGGAGGAGGTGTAGTTTCTTGGAAATCTGAGAAGCAAACTTGTATTACTCATTCAACTATGGAATCGGAGTTTGTAGCATTGGCTGAAATCGGGAAAGAAGCCGAGTGGCTAAGAGATTTATTATATGAAATACCTTTAGATATAAATGATATTTCTTCTATACCTATCTTGTGTGATAGTCAAGCCACTCTAGCTCGAGCATATAACCAAGTATATAATGGAAAGTTTACACACATGAGTCTAAGACACGAGTATGTAAGGAAATTAATCAAACATGGAGTAATTTCTCTTACATTTGTTAAGTCTAGTAAGAACTTAGTTAATCCATTCACAAAACCTCTCACAAAAGAGTTAGTGAGATCAATATCAAGTAAAATTGGATTAAAACTCCTCAAATAGATCCACAAATGACTGCAACCTCACCAAAATATACCAAACTAGTATATAAATAGGTTCAAGAGGTAACAACAATTTATTCAATAAGTGGATGGATTCAACACTATTAATATATATCTAATACTATATTTGGAAAATAATGTTAGTTGTTACCGTTAGATGGATGAGTTAAAATAAACTCTTAATGAAGTTCAGTATGGAGTATAAGTATCTGTAAAAGTAACAAAGATATTGGAAGAACTTTACCTATGTGAACTTCGAGGTGGTGCTGCCTCATTAGAGAGTTGAAGTTTTATCTCTTTAAAAGTTCAATGAAATAGGATTAGTATAAGGTCATATTAGCACTAAGCGAGTTGGAAGAACTAGTGCAAATCATAACACTTGTGTGTGTGATTTCATCTGTACTGTCACAAAGAATAATTTGGTTCAAGGCACACTAGCCACCTGGAATTCTGATAATACTTTATGAGATTTACACTATGAATATCCAAATCGAAATGTATTTAATTCTTATGTATAAGTGTTGATATTTGATTATGTGATTAAAATAAATTTTGAACAAGTGGGGGATTGTTGAAAATTTATTGTTCAAAATCAAAAGAAAAGGGGGGAGGGGGAGGGCTTGGGCTTAACCATCTGACTGCATGAATTAAACCCATGCGGTCGCATGATGCCCTCCCGAGAATGGGAGGGCGGTGATGCTATAACCATGCGATCGCATGGCTATAGCCCATGCGGTTGCATGGTTATCAAAACTAATCGTTTTTTTACCTTTTTTCATTTGAAATTGATGGCTTTTCATCATTGTTTTGCACAATTTCATGAAAACTTTGCTAACGCCTATAAATAGGTGATCCAAGTGCAAGAAAGATATATTGAGTTCCATTAAAAATTTATCCCCAAATATACTTCCAATATTGAGAATATTTATCACATAATTCTTCTATTTTCACTTGTTCATTGTGAAGAAACACCTTCGCTTTTTGGTGTTCTTCTTGTCAAGCCTTGTTCAATCTTACAAACAATTTGCCGAAAATCCTCAAAAAGTATTGGAAAGAAGGCAAATAACGTTTGAGGATAGCAATATTAATTTCGTGTTCAAACCTTCATTGATATATTTTTATAATTCTCTTCTCCATTACCATTATTTTTCAACAGGAAATACTGCGTCCCAAGGTGAATAACTCCATAAGTCTCATCTGGAGCAATTTGCCTTCAATATTAAGGCCGTCATTGACTTTCCGTTCCGGCTTAGTGTCGGCGATGCTGCTACTCTTTCTTTATTTTTGATGGAGGAAGAGATATAGGGCACAGGAAGACGGTACGAATTAGCTGAGGAGATTAATTTGGCAAAATATAAAGAAAGAAATCCTTTTAAATGTAAAGAGAGTGATATTTTGGCAAAATATTAAAGGGCTATGAGTTTATTAGTAGTTTTATTTATTTATGATTATTATTATTAAAAAGTTGAATTATGATCTCATTCTTGAATAAATAAGTTTTAAAATTGATTTTTGAAGTTGAAAGTTAAAAAACATGTGCGTAATTTTCACATTATGTAACATTAACGGCAATACCTGGAATATTAAACAAGATCCAGTCCTTTCAAGTTCAGATCAAAATAGGCTGATTTGATCTAATAAGTAATAACTAATTGTTCCAAACGAGTCAGTCTTAACCCGGGGTGGAATCAATTACCCAAAATTCAGTAATACATAAAGGTCATAAATTTATTAGGGAAGAAAAGAGAACTTAAGAAAAATGAAAATGTGCTTGTCTCGAAAATATGAAACAGGTTCAGAAAGTCCGTGAACAAATTGGTTTTAGTATCGAAATTGACAAAAACACGAACGAGGTTAGAGAATCATCCTAAACATATGACAATGAATTTATTCAACTTGCTAAGTTCTCAAATCTATTCTAAGGTGATATTCGTCCTACTTTTTTCAAAAGAATAATGCTATTTATCATTATAATGATAAAAATCAGTGATGTGGTTGTCTATGTAGAAGAATGAGATTTGATAGTTCAATTTTTACGAGAGAGAGGAGGAGACGTGATCTCAAAAGAAAGAGAAATGTGAGAAATAATAAGTTGTTACATAGTATTACTCAGTTCCAAAATAATAAGGTCTATTATGAAAATCTCATATAATCGAGAATTAATGCCCAAAAATAGCATTATGGGAACTGGGATTGTAATTTCCCAAATAACGTCAAGAGGCTCATAACTTAGATCCAACCTTAATTTCAAAACAAGGATAAAATGCGGTAGAAGTTATTTGATGTTTCATTAAACACCAAGATGAGAACGTGAAAGATTAAAATAAAAGATACTCTCTTACTACCGCCTGAAATGTCTCAGATGGCTGCCAAAGATATTTCATGCAAGAAAAGAAATTTTTCAAAATCCAAATATATAAGTGAAAAGGGAATTCTTAGAGAATCATGAAATACCAGCAACTAAAACTCTGTTTACTAGTCAGTGAAATTTTCACTTGCCTTTTCTTTTTGTTCTTCACTTCCACTTTCTTCTTGATCTTCACTTTGTTCTTCACTTCCACTTTCTTCTCGTTCTTCACTTCCCAAGTCTGATTACTCTGATATTATGATTTTAAGACCTTCATTTCCCGTGTCTTGTTGTTTTTCCAGAATTTTCTTAGCAGATTCTTTGACAGCTTTTACGCACCCATATACTTCAATAATCTCTAACGTCAGAATTTTACTAAAACTGGAAGGGATTATCTTCAAATGCTTGCAATTTTGCAATACCAGTTGTCGAAGAATTGGGAATGTACGATGTGAGGCATTCAATTTCACAAGATTTACATTCCAGAGTTTCATGAATTTAAGCTGTGGAAATTCGACTTTACTTGTGTCCCAGTGTCTTCCCTCAAAGGAAATATCTACGAATTTGAGAACTCAGCAACCTCTCAATCATCTCCATTTCTTTTGGAGACGTGTACATTAACTAGAGTCAATTGTTTGAGATATATGGGTAGAATGATCAAACTGGACGATGAACCTTCCTCTTTAATAAGCTTCAGTGATTCTAGCTGATAAAAGAAGTCAAAAGAATAATTGAGCGAAGATCGACACAGGACTTTCACTCTGCGAAGATTGCGCAAGCTTCTCAGAATTTTCTCGTCCGTTTCATCACAAATTGAAAGTGAAGAAATACTTTGTAGGTTACTATTTGTTTGAAAGTTCTTATCCTTAGTTGCTTGCTGACGGCAAGATTCACTGAAGCGTGAGAGCTTGCAATATATTTGTTTCAGGCTCACCATATTAAGAAGGATCTCAGGTTCAACGAAAAACACATGGCGCATATCAAGAAATTCTAGTTTGTGGAAGCTTTCGATTTGGTCCAATACAGTTGGAATTTTTAAGTGCCTCAAGTGAACCAGACGTTCAATTCCTATTACACTTGCCCAGCATTTCTGAATACCTAATACCCTAAGAAATCTGAAGCCGCAAGAATTAAATGCTTTCCACCCAAAATAAACCGATAGAGAGCGCACGTGTAGGCCAAAAGGTATTAAGTTCGTAGGAGATGACAAGTTGTCCATAATCAGACATTTGTGTTGAATGAAGAACGGTGCTCCGTCAGGACATTTATAACTGGTAATAAAATAATCACATCATTAATGTGATCATCAAATATCATAACAATTATTAGTAGGCAAAAACTAAAATGGACGAAAATGAAAGTAAAATGAAGAGAAACAGTGAACTTACATTGGGGCCACCTTCAAAAAGTGTTTTTCATAAGATATCCTCAGGCACATTTCACGTAGGATAAAGATGTTTATAGCGAGGGGGTGTACCGAACGGTTTACACCCCCTTCACAAACATACGGGCCCCATGTATAATTTAATAATCCGACCTGAGGTCCCACTCAAATGATGTGAGTAGTTGATAAACGGTTAGGTAAATGATTATGTACGTGTAGCACGATCCTTTCACGTAATAGATCATGAACTTTACAAGTTTTGACTTTCCCGTCACATCTTCTCGTGGCTACAAGTACCAAGCCCCTGTCAATTAGTTCCATAAGGTATTTTAGTGCCACGTCCTCCATACACTTATTTTCTTCCTTCTTTACGTACCCTTAAGCAATCCATAGCGATATCAACTTTCTTACTTTGATTTCCTTGTCTTCGTCGAATGCTCCAAAGTAAAGAAAACATGGTTTCAAATGCATTGGCAAATGCTTGTAGCTGAGTTCCGAGTTTTCAGATATATGTGAAGTTAAATTTCTTGCAACTTTTTTCCACGAGCATTTTTTCTTCTCCATATTTGCAAGAACTCCAGCTATCGCAACCACCTGAAGTGGTAGGCCATGACAATTTCTTGCAATTTGATTCCCAATGTCTAGCAATTCTTCAGGACAATAATCTTTTTGGAACACTTTTTGTTGTAACAATTCCCAACATTCATCTTTTGACAAAAAAAGGAAGTTCTTTCATGATACTAGCTGAAGCTTTCAAACCAACTTCTTTATTTCGAGTGGTGAATAATATTCTACTTCCAACGTTGTCATTTGGAAAATATCTTTCCAACTCATTCCATGCATCTATATCCCTTATATCATCTACCACAACAAGGAATCTCCTTCCCTTTAAACTTTGGTAACGTTTTTGGGCCAAATCTGCATCCTGCATAACAATAATTGTTTCTCTTTTGAGGTGGCCTATTGACATCAAGATTTCAATCAACATATTGCCCTTCTTATATGCTTGAGAAGCAACACACCAGGCACGGACATCAAAATGACAACCAACCTGGGCATGATTATATAGTTTTGTTGCTAAAGTGGTCTTTCCAAGTCCAGGCATTCCAAAGATGGAAATAATTTGCAGTTGCTCCGCCCCTCTAACAAGTTGTTCGACAATCTCGGTTTCCACTTTTTGAAACCCCACAACAATGTCTTCCAAAATGGAAGGTCCTTTAGATTCCGACGATACTTATTCTCCTCGATATGTTGCAATTTCTGGCATTCCAGTTGTTTCAATTATGTTCTTCATTTCTTTGACTGCCAGCTTAATAAGGTGAATCTTCTCAGTGAGTTGAGGGAGCCTAAGGGTGAGATACCAAACAGGAGGAGATGAGTTGATAACATATTCAACTTCATATGCTATGTCTCTGGTTCGTATCACAGCTTCTTCTTGGTCTACTTCGTGCTGAACTGCTATATCTGTGATAGATGATCCCAATAACTTTAGTTCCTTATAGAGCGCTACGATTTGGTCATACACACAAACAATCTTGTCAGGCTTGTTAATTATTAGGTCCATAATATCATCAAGAACAGAATCAACGATGAAGAGAGCAACCAAAGCAGTGTTTGGAGGCATAACACTTGGCATCTTTGAGACTATTTTGCAGTGCATCTCGCTATCTTTTTTCAACAGCTCAAACTTTGGTAACAAATTGGAAAGAGCACGATCCAATATTCCATTCTCCGGGACTTGATTGGTACCCTTGAAAGTGAAGAAATCTATGAAATTTCCTGCTTCGTGGACCAAAGCTTTGAAATCCGTTATTGCTTTATTTTTTTCTTCCCTTTATCCCTTTTTCCCCTTCTTTTCTTCCTTCCAGATAAGAGATTTGCAATGGTAAATCGTCAAGAAAAGTAAAAAGGTCGAAATGCAAGAAACTCCGTACCTCCTCAACTCCACCTTCCATATGAGGCATTGTGTGATTGGCTCCCCGAATGAATACAATGACGGTGAAAAGGAAGGAAAACAAGAAACTTCCAACCTCATTAACCAAAGCTTCAATATCTAACACTATATTCTTGGCGGGCTGCAAATGCATTGCTGTATCGCCAAGAAAAGTGTTGGGGATCCTAGGAGTTCAATCAACCAAAACATCAAACAATAGAAGAAATTCTAAGGCAAAACAATGAAAACAAAGTGGAAAGACACAACCTATCTTTGGCCGAAATTTCCTGCGATTTTTTCTTCCTTCCCTTATGGCAGATTTAGGCTCAGGAATAGCACTCCATGACTTGCAAATCACCTTCCAAGAGAGAGAGAGAAAACCGGCAAAGAACCCACGACCTTCAACTGAAAACCATGAGTTCATAGAGAAAGGAGAGGGAGTCCACTTAAGAAGGGAAGAAAAGGAAAGACCCATGCCTCTGCCAAAAAACGTGGGAAGCCCTTATTGTGTTAACATCAATACCATCAAGTAAAAAACATCTTCCCCAAGATTAAATCCCGACCGTCGATCTTCATCCAATGGTCCACAAAAATCTGAATAAATGGAGTTAAGAGAACCATATTCTCACATTCTTCACCTTGGTTCTCATAACACTCTCTCTTGGTTGCGAATTTGCACATGGAAGAACTGTTCATCATCATCGCCCACTACCTGCAAGGAAAAATTAACCAGTGTCAATATGTAATAAAGATAAGCACAATTTAAATTTACCTGCAGGTAGAATTTTTATTCCCATATCAGAGGGATTCCTATCAGTGTGAATTTTAACAAGATTAACTTCACCTTGAGACAGTTTCTCACGAATAAAATGATACTTTACCTCAATATGTTTAGTTCTTTCATGGTAAATAGGATTTTTACAAAGCAATAAAGCACTTTGACTATCAGTAAACATAACAGGTGTATCATGCATGAAGTTCAATTCTTTTAAAATTCCTTTTAACCAAGTACATTCTTTAACCGCCTCGGTTATGGCAACATACTCTGCCTCAGTACTTGACAAAGTAACTAAAGGCTACAGCTGTGACTTCCATGTTATACAATTGTCACCTAGTGTAAAAAAGTACGCTGTGGTAGACTTTCTACTATCCTTGTCACCAGCAAAATCAGAGTCTACATACCCCTTTAGAGCAAGTTTTTCAGATCTCTTTTCATACACTAGACCCAGATTTAATGTACCAACAATGTACCTTAACAACCATTTCAAACCTGCCCAATGGGGCTTTCCTGGGTTTGACATAAATCTGCTCAAAAAACTTATAGCATATGCTAAGTCAGGCCTGGTTGTTATCATAGAGAACATAACGGAACCTATAGCATTAGCATAGGGTATGTTCCTCATTTCTCTAAACTCCTCCTCAGTCTTAGGAGATTGTGCACTGGAAAGATTCATGTGAGCTGCTAAGGGAACGTTCACAGATTTTGATCCATTCATACCAAATTTAGTTATGACTTTGTTTAGATAGACTTCTTGGGAAATGACTAGCCTATTTTCAGCCCTATCTCTCTTTATAACCATCCCCAAAATCTTCTTAGCACTCCCCAAATCTTTCATATCAAATTCTGATTTTAAAAGGTTCTTCATCTTAGTGATTTCAGTCTTACTTGAACTTGCTAGAAGCATGTCATCTACATACAACAACAAGTAGACCTCACAACCCTCCTTACTATTATTATAGTACAGGCATGCATCATATTCACTCCTTTTAAAACCTATCTTCAGTACATAAGTATCGAACCTTATGTACCACTGTCTAGGACTTTGTTTAAGCCCATACAGAGATCTTTCTAATTTGCACACACAGTTTGTTTTACCTTTCACCTCAAAACCTTGAGGCTGACTCATGTAAATATCCTCTTCCAATTCCCCATGTAGGAAAGCAGTCTTGACATCTAGTTGTTCCAGTTCCCAGTTGTACTGAACAACCAATGCAAGAACCAGTCTGATTGTTTTGTACTTTATCACAGGAGATAATATCTCATTGTAATCAACCCCCTCCTTTTGAGTGAACCCTTTCGCCACTAGTCTGGCCTTATACCTAGGAGGATCACTAGGATTATTTCCTTCTTTCAATTTGTAAATCCACTTACATTGAACTATCCTATGATCCTTAGGTTTGTTAACTAATTTCCAAGTTTTATTCTCCATTAGAGATTCCATTTCTTCCCGCATAGCTTTTAGCCAATTTTCAGAACATTTTCCATTAACAGCTTCTTCAAAACTAGCAGGTTCTATCTGTTCAAGGGCTTCACCTGAAACCAAGGCAAAATCAGTCAAGTTTAGGGATTCATATCTAGGATTTGGCCTGATCTGCCTCCTCCCCCAATCCCTAGTAAGCTGATAATCTTGATTAGGTGGCTGATTATTAAAATGTTCAACTTCAACTGGTTCAATGTTATCTTGAAGTTCAGTCACCTCTTCAGGTTCAGGTTCAATTTCAATTTCATTTTCATGATGTATAGGGTCATTTTCGTCATTCCTAGGTGTAGGTGAATTTAGCCTAGTCAGCTTCACTTCAGTCTGAATACTCTTCTCAGTTTCAGATTTGTTAGTTTCTTCGATTTTCTGTTTTAGACATCGCATCTCAGATTCATTAAAGACTACATTCCTGTTGTTAATAATCTTAATGCCTTGGACCCCTAAAACCCATAACCTATAGCCCTTCACACCCTCGGGATACCCTAACATCACACACTTGACAGCCCTCGGCTCAAGTTTCCCTTCAGATTGGTGTGCATATGCAGCACATCCAAACACCCTCAAGTGTTCTAGATTTGGAGGCTCTCCCGTCCACAACTCCTGTGGGGTCTTAAACCCTATCTGTCGGACGAAGACCTATTAATCAGATAAGCTGCAGTACTTGCAGCTTCAACCCAAAAACCTTTTGCAAGGCCAGAGCTAATCAACATACACCTAACTTTGTTCATTATGGTCTTGTTCATTCTTTCAGCGACCCCATTTTATTCAGGTGTGTATTTAACAGTTCTGTGTCTTGTTATACCTTTCTGCTTACAGAAGTTGTCAAATTCGCTATTACAGAATTCAAGCCCATTATCAGTTCTTAACGTTTTAAGTTCTTGTTTAACTGATTCTCAACAGACTTTAACCAAATCCTGAATTTCCCAAAGGTTTCCGACTTAGCCTTCAAAGGATAAATCCAAACCTTTCTTGAGTAATCATTCATTAAGGACAAGAAGTACTTGCTCCCACCAAATGTGGAGTGCTTCTCCGGGCCCCATAGATCAGCATGGACATAGTCCAATGGTCTGCCGGTCCTATGAGAGTTAGTTTCAAAGCTCACCTTATGAGACTTACCCAAAACACAAGTTTCACAGAATTCCATAGTTTCAATGTCATCTTTTCCAAGTAATTTTTGATTACTTAAAGATTTTAGCCCTTTAAACCCAATGTGACCCATTCTGTTATGCCAAAGTTCAGTTTTGTCTTTACTTATATCAAGAAGGCTAGAATCAAATGGTATTTCAGTTCTACCCTCAAGATAGTACAACCCATTCCTCTTAGGCCCTTTCATAACTATAAGAGAACCCCTCATAATTTTCAAAATTTTGTTACCAAACTTGAAGGTATATCCCCCATCTTCCAGAGAACCTAAGGAAATGGGGTTCCTCTTTAAATTTGGGACATATCTAACATTTTTGAGCCGCGTGACGGCCCCATCGTACATCCTGATGGCTATGTCACCAACTCCAATCACATTTTGAGAATTATTGTCTCCCATGTAGACCTTCCTAGGTTCAGTCTCCCTATAGTTATAAAACCAATACCTACCAGGGCACATATGAAAAATGCACCCTGTGTCAAGAATCCAATTTTTGTCAAATGCTTCTTCAGACACATTTATGACATGCAAACTATTAAATTCAGAAGCAATAGCAGCATTATCAACATCAGAATTGTTCGGGTCTTTTTGTTTCCTTTTCCAGTCAAAGCAGTCTTTTTTGAAATGTCCTAACTTTCCACAGTGATAACATTTCTTACCGCTTTTATCTTTAGATTTGGATCTCATTTTAGATTTTCCTCTCCCCTTCTTGTTATGGAAGTTAAATTCTTTCTTTTCAGATCTTCCCCTAACAAATAGACTCTCTTCAC